ACGGGATTTGAGGAGGGTTTCCAATGGTGTGTGCTCTATATCTAGAACAACACATGCAGAACAAGGCCTCCTCTGTGCCCAAAAGCCTACTGGCCTGCAGACATAGCCAGAGCCTGAGCAGTTCCAAATATAGCTGCATGCCCACGGTATAGAGAAGGAGGCAAGCTGGCAAGGCCTGAAGACACAGGGCAGGATTTCCAGGGGCTCAGGTCCTTGCTTCTACCTTCCCACCCTTTTAAACGAATAACTCCTACAAATGACCCTGGCAGGCTTCAGAGCCACCCAACTTTGGTCCTCTGGGTCCTATGCTTGCTCTCTATTCTAGGTTTCATATCTCATTCTTATTTCTCTTCTTGGGACAAGTCAGTCATTTAAAAAGACGAGACGGTGGCCAGAGGTTGGAGAGGGGACTGCTAAATAATCAAATTCACTGCAGTTGCGATCAGTCTCCCCCCCCCCGCCCCGAAAAAAACAACTGGGTGATGTGGAAATGGAGGAGTTTCTATGGTAACCAATTACCACTGGTGATTGGTGAAATCTTACAAAAAATATCCTGTTAGTAAAGTTATGCTGGGGCAGGCCAGCAGGCATGCAGACACATGTCTTGGCATTAGGTTTTTAATTTCCTGGGGCGATATCTCCTATGGCACTAATGGTTGGATGGTTAGGGTTGAGCATTTCTTTATTTTGCCTGCCATTAATGTCCTGGGAGAGCTGTCTGACTGCACCTGCTACACTCATGATCTTATTAGCCTAATATCAGCCAACATTCTTCCACCTCTTCTCTCCCTGCCTCTCCCACCCCATTCTGAGGGCTGTAGGGAATGTTCGTTCTTCTTGACACATCTCTGATCCTTACTGGGTCATCCCCCAGCCGAAGCTATGCTACCTTTTGTGATGCCAGTGTGTTGATGGGGGAATTGCAAATTGATCTAAATCTCTTGGAAGGCGGTGGATGTGATGCTTACTTCTGTAAATATCAAAGCAAGTTATTCAGACAACCAGAAGCTCCCCCCTTCTTTCCCCTCCCCCCGAAACACATCTAACCTCATTAGCATAATGGGAAATATCTAGTTTTTGCAACCAGGCAATTTCATTGTGATTAAAAAAAACAGGAAGCTTTATTATTTGGGGATTAGTACTTTTTGGTAATTAGCTCTCATTAATACAAGTTTCCTTCTCTCTGCATCAAGGTGGTGGTGATCTTTAGGGACATCCAAGCACACTTCCAAGCATGAGAGATGGAGAAGGAGACAGTCACCCCTCCCCTCCCAACACTGGGATTTTCCACTTTTAATAGGAAACAAGGTTGAATTGCATAGCTCAACACACAGAAAGATTTATTTTTTAATTCATGTGATATTTCAATGCCTTATAATGGAATGGAGGTAGAACATAAGCTCTCAGCGGAATTCCTGGCTCCCAAGCTCAGCTCTGGTGCTATCTCATAAACAAGTCTTCCCTGATGCCCATCCTGTACCTTCACAGCCCAATTATGCTACTCTCCATCTTGAAATTATATGTATTTCTTTAGATATTTATTTTTGTTACTTACTTGTGTCTACATTTTACCCCCACCCCTATGAAATGTAATCAATCGCAAAGTATTTATTAAGTCTCTACTAGGGCAGCTGGGTGGTGCGGGCCCTGGAGTCAAATTTGGACCTTACTTCAAATTTGGACTCAGACACGTACTAGCTGTATGTGACTCTGAACAAGTCACTTAACCCTGTTTGCCTCAGTTTCTTTATCTGTAAAAATAAGCTAGAGAAGGAAATGACAAACCACTCCCAAGAAAAGCCCAAATGGAGTCACAAAGAGTCAGACATGACTGAGTAATGACAGCAGGTTCCGAGCAAAGAACTAGGTACTGGGTATACAAGCACACAGAATTAAACAATACTCACGATGAGCTTATATTCTAATGAAGAGACAACTGAAACATATATGTATATATGTACACATATGCATATTCATGTATATGTATGTAGATCTATATACATATATACACAAACATATATGTGTGTATGTATATATGTTAAAAAGATATCAAGTTGATAAATGTACATTTCTGAAAAGTAGTTGAATACAAGGTACTCTGGAAGGGAGGGGACAGAATTGGAAGCTCAAGAAAGTTTTCCTCACAAAGATGTAGCCTGAGCTACATTTTAAAAAAGAGGAATTCTCTAGGATGGAGGACGGGAGGGAGGACATTCCTTCCAGTCTTGGTGGATGGCCAGTGTAAAAGCATTGACATGGGATACAGAATGTTTTATACAAGGCCAGTTTGACTCCATCAGAGAGTGAAGGTGAGGGAAGGGGAGGTAATGTCCAGTGAGGTTGCAATGATAGATGGAGGCCAGATTGTGTGGAACCTCAATGGCTAAACAGAGGGGTTATATTTTATGCTAAAGGCAATAGAAAGAAAGCCAAAGATTGAATAATGGAGGCACGTGGTCAGGCAAGCGCTTGAGGAAAATTACTTTCACATTAGTGTGGTGGGATGGACCAGAATGGGGAGAGACTTGAGTCAGGGAAGCCAATTAGGAGGCTGTTTAATAACTACGTAGAGAAGTGAGGTTTGAATTAAGGTAGTAACTATATGAATAGAGAGGAGGTCAGATGCAAGAGATTTTTTATGGGTAGAATTCCTGCTCCTAAAGGAGAGGGACTAATTTTGTTGGTGACGGTAATGGATGTTCCTCAGTTCCGAGAATAATGTCTTGAACATAGTAAATGCCTAATATGTGTTTATTTAATTGAACTGAAGGTGGGGAATATTTTTAATCTTGTGCTTGTATTCTCTGCACTTTGCACATACTTATACTCAAAACCTCCAACTAGATCTAAGATCTCATCTTGTTGATCTCTAGTTTCCTTGGGCAGCAATGCACATCACGACATTATATTTCCACCCAAGAGTCCCCTAAGGGCCTCCATCCAGTATGCAGACAATCAATCTTTTTTTTTTTCTCCTGACCTCTTGAAGACACCAAGACAACATGTCGACTGTATTATTCTATTATTATTACCATCTATTATTACTATTCTATTATTACTATTATTATTACCATGCATTATTACTCAAAATTGTCATGTGGCTAACCAATATTCATTTCATTCACACATGTATTTGATGACATCCTTCATGCCTTGTATGTACTGAACACCTAATAAACACTTACTGAATTGTTTTTGTTGTTGCTGTTGAGGGCTTTGCTGGCAGCCTGTAAACTTTAGCAGATTCTTCTCCAAGATGGAAAGATAGCTTTTTCAAGATGTTGCTACTTTTCCTACATCAAGGATCTCAATCCCAGAGTACAATCTCTCTATGATTCAGTAGATGGTCTTCCAAAACTGTTGCCAAAAAAAATAAGAACACCCAAATCCAGGAAACATTCCAGGAAACCTATTATATGCTAGGCACTGTTCTAAATGCTGGGGATACAACTAATAAAAAGAAAGACAGTTCCTGCCCATGGACTATATGTTTATTATTGAAGTCTAGCTATTGTCTTAGTTTGACTAGATTTGGAGAAGTTCATTTTCAGCTTGGGATTATGCTACAATCCATTAGGTTGTAAGCTCTTTGAAGACAGGAACTGTCTTTCTTTCTTTCTTTTTTTTTCTTTCTTTTTATTAATTGTATCCCTAGCACTTAGAACAATGCCTAACACACAGTAAGCATAGTAGGCACACCGAATGTTTACTGAATTGGGATGCTGTTGCTTTTTTTTTTTTGCAGTAGTTTTGGAAGACCATATACTGAATGATAGAGAGATTGTATTCTGGCAATAAGATCATTGAAGTAGCAAAAGTAGGAACATCTTGAAAAGAAAAAAAAAAAACATCTAATACCCCAGGTCCTCTCCTCTCTCCTAATACTCTCCCCAATAAAAGACTGAATTGAATTGGAACAATTTTACTCTTAATGGCTTTTGAAGGGTATAATAAGAGTTTATTGATCTACAAACATACCGACCAACTTCCTTCCCACATCCCTCCCCCACTGGACCATTAAGTCTCATATCTGGATTTGGTGACTCATATATAGAATCTGAACATACACATCAACACTCACCCAATAAACTATAATACCACTGGTGACAGAGATAGGTTTAATCTGAATTTATAGCAAGTGTCTTTAAAATAATGTTTGAATCAGAAGTATTCTTAACTAAATTCAATTTATTTTCAAAATACATTTTGATACCATTTTAGTAAAATTATTATAATTTATAATCTTATATGTTTTCTTCTATGTATTTAATTAAGAACATTGTCCTGAGAAGAAGTCTGTAGGCTTCTTCAAACACATACACACATACACACGTGTGCATGTGCACACACGCACACACACACACAGTTTAAGAACCACCGTTTTAAAGTATCATGTAACTTTCACTGGCATTTGAGACTATCTCATATTTTGTGAATTTACTTTCAGCTAATGAGGGTACCCTGTGAACTGATTAAGAGGCCCTTGGAAGCTAAGTTGTCTAATTTCCTCATTATTATCCCTGCTCACACCCTCTCTGAAACTCAGCTATTACTGAGGATAGCATCACCTCTCACATAGTCCACTAGGATATCATAACATATTTACAGTGAGCAGAAAGCCGAGCCCACCATTATCATTTTCTAGCTTTCTTAGGAAGCAGGACTGAATGACACAATGTCCTCTGTTAGGTCTTCCTTAGAGTAGAGGGCATGGTTGATTGGTTCACAAAGGATTTATCTGTACTCCAAATAAATATAAGGATCTAAGATGCCGACAAAGTAAATACTTGAATATAGCTGTATTGTCTAATTGGAAAGATGTGATTTACTGTGGGTAAAGTCCAAGGTGAATAATCCATTGGAAATCTAAGGTTGGAAAGTGCTGAAATATTCCATATTTTATGGGAGGATCCTGATTTAAAACAGTTCTGTTCAGGCAATAAGAAACATATGCCTATACATGTAAGGGAGCTAGGCCTATTGGGTTAATACAACGAGCCATGGGGTAAGAGCCAAGAAACTTACCTCTACCACTTATTGTCCTAGGCAAATCTCCTAGGAGCTTCGTGTCCTAGTTTTCCCTATAATACAATGAACATAAGTTTATCTACATCCTACTTGGCTCTAAGATATATTGTGGGACTAAAGAAAATTATGGATATGAATCTTCTTTGAGAAAGGCCATCCTCATATAAAAATCATTATTATTATTTTTTACTAAAAAAATGATGATTCAAAGTACTTGAAAGAAACCTTGAAACTCTATGTCATTATGATTCTGCATTGGATAGAGTGTTGGACCCGGATTCAGGATAAATTGAGTTAAAACCCTATCTCAGACGCTTACTATCTATGTGACCTTGTTCAAATCACTTGACTTCTCTCTGTCTTGGTTTCCTCATCTGTAAAATGGTGAAAATGACAGCAGCAACCTTCCAGAGTTGTTGACAGAATCAAATGAGATTATATTTGTAAAGTACTTTGAAAACCTTAAAGTGCTCTACAAATGATAGTTGTTATTAATATTGTTATTATTATTATTACTACTGTAATTATTTGTGTGTGGTACAGTCAACACAGTACTGAATTTGGAATCAAAAGGATATGAGTCCCAGTCCTGACTCAGACACACTAGTTGTGGAGCACCAAACAAGTCACCTGACTGCTATCAGCCTCAGTTTCCTCATCTATAAAATAGAAATATTTGTAAATAAAAACAACTATTTCATTCTGTTGTTGTGAGGGTTAAATGAGGTAATATATATATATATATATATGCATTTGCAAACCTTCAAGCTCTATACAATAGCTACCTATTATTATTCTTACAGAATGTTATGCTGTAATGTTTGGAAAAAATAGCCACAGACTCAGGATGGCTTGGAGTCAAACCCTGCCTCTGGCACATGCTGCTTGGGTGGCTCTAGGCAAGTCATTTGAACCATCAATATTTTAGACTTTATTCTATAAGATTTTCAGTTACAAAGAAAATGTCAATCTCTATTGGTAGAGGGAATTTCCTCACCCAGGAGGAAATCAATAAAGTTATACGTCCAGTCCTCATCCTTAAAATTATCATTAGTATTATTGGAGGTGGCTTGGAGAACTTGGAGTCAAGAAGACTTGAATTCAAATCCCATTTCAGATGTTAGCTGTATGACCCTGAGAAGTCACTTAACCTCCATGTGCCTTAGTTTCCACCTCTGTAAAATAAGCATGATAATAGCAGCTATCTCAAAGGATTGTTGTGAGGATCAAATGAGTTAAAATATGTGAAGCACTTTGTGAACCTTAAAGCTATATAAATAATGAGAATAATTATTATCATTGAAATGCAAAATTTAAAAAGAAAAAACAAATAGATAAATGGAAGTTATGAGGGAGGAGAGAAAACTCCATGCCTGGAATGGAATACCTTCTTGCCTCTGCCTCTGCCTCTTAGAATTCCTCACTTCCTTCAAGATGTAGTTCAATTACTACCTTATACATGAAGTTTTTCCTCAATTGCCTGAACTTCTCCTGACCTCTTCACTAACCACCATATATTATATTCTGTATAA